GGGCTAGGGAATTGAACCTGTTCAATTCCCCAACTCTCTGTTCAATTCCCCAGCCCCTGGGGTTCAATTCCCCAGCCCCCAGTTTGATTCTTTAGCTCCATGTTCAATTCCCCAGCCCCAAGTTTGATTCACCTGGGAGCTGGGGCAGCTCCACGTGTCAGCCAGAGCCCAGCAGTGCTCAGCCCCAGCTCCCAGACAGTGTGTGGTGCCCTGCCGAGGCACGACGCACCCACGCCATGGGTCAGCTGCTGCTCAGGTGCTGGGGGGTGATCCCCACTGCCCCATGCTGCACAGGGGGCTCTGCCCCCAGTGCCGAGAGGCCCTGATCCCCCCTACCACATCTGGTGAGTGCAGGGCTTTTTTTTTTTTTTTTTTTTTTTAATTTAAGTACCAGGAGTCTGGGGCTAGGCATGAGATAGGGCCAGACAGGGCAGCCATGGGGGGTTCTCCCACAGCTCCTCTAGCTGTGCCTGCCTGTGCCCCGGCAGGAGGAGCTGCAGGGGCTATGCTCTGCCCTATTACCCACCCCACGGGCACGCTCCAAACTTGGAAATACACTGCAATTGGTTCAAAATGGAGTTGTCTACTTGCACGGTTTTGTTTGTGAGGCATATCACACCTGTGCTCAGTAACTACTCTGGCTTCTAATCTGTCTGGAGGTGCATGTGTTGGTATTTGATCTATATTGACCCATAAAACTTGGATCTGTGGCTCCCGCCTTAAGGGTTGGGACACTCTTGATTAGAGTCCTTAGACTTGTCTGTCTGAAAAGTCTTTGCCTTTGAAACACCTTTCAAAAGTATCTTAATTTTTTGACTCTCATGACACTTCGTAAGTTTTATTTTCTTGGTGATTTGTCTAATTGGATGGTCTGAAGGAGACTGACTTTCTCTTGCAGTTTGGTGAGTTCTTTGATATTCTATTAGCAATTATATGTCACTACAGCTGTGGTAAATGTGTGTTTTTATTTTTATACTCATGTATATATACGGAGGCAGCTAACAATGCCAGTACAACTTGAGTGCCAAGCAACAGCAGCCTCAGCTCATCTAGTCTGTGCTTCAACAACTATTTGCGTGCTTTTCCTCTTACTTCCACTTATGAGAGAGGAAATCTCTCACCATATCCTCCTCAAAACCATCTCTTTTGTAAGGTACATGGTAGAGTACAATCTGAGAATGGCTTGGCATGTGGAGGCCTAGTATTGCTACTACTGACTGGCTGAGAATTTGCACATTCTATTTATTTGTGGTGCTGTCTCTGCCACCCAAGCCCTGCCAACATCTTTGTCTCATCTGCCAGTCATGTCTTTGAGGAAATAAGAAATTTTGAGTGGTTGACTGTTATTAACTATACTGCTTACAGATGTAAAAAAAAATGGTGCTTTACTTTAAGCCCCCACACTGACCGATCACAGTGCATGGTCAGAAGAGGCACTGCATTAGTTTGACCCAAATGGCCTAACGTCTGAATAGAGCGGGTGCTTCAGCAGGGCTTTTCTGGCACTTTTACCTAATAGCTGATTGAATTAGCTTTAGATAAAAGCACCAAAAAGCCCCACAGAAATGCATGATCTATACAGACACTGGGGAGCCGGGTTGATGCCTCTTTTGGTAAAGCATGGGGGTGGGGAGAGGGTGTTGTTTGTTTTCTTCATATGTCAGTGCCCTTTGTTTTTATAGCATGTACCACAATACAGATATTAAATAATATAAATAAAAACAAGACATTATAAAGGGACAGTGGAGGCAGCTGATGAAGGGAGCTTTCAGCCAGATGCCTGAGTAACCAAAGTACTAGCCTGGATGTAAGAAACAGGTTCTTGTAACTTAGTGCTGATAGGTTCCAGGGGATTGTTTTTTTTAGAGGGGAAGGGTCTTTTCTGATTTATGTGCTGGTGTTGGAAAGAAGACAGTACATTTTTATGTGGGAAAAAATTTACATCCAGGGTATATAGGAAGTCAGAGTAGATGATCCTATTTATCTATTTGGCTGTAGTTCCTATGAATCCTATCTTGAAACACCTGTGGCAGCAGCCTGTGTTTAGTTACAGACTTGAAGTGACATTAGCAGGAGTTGGGAAATGATGGTTTAAGACATTCTATATGATTTCCTTAACAAGTTACCAATTTTATAACAGGCCTAGTATTATTAAAGACAGGCTCACTTTTTAAAAATGTGATAGTCTTAGTTACTTTCAGTACAAAAAACCTTGGTTTGATACTATGAACTGAAATTTGCATGGAGAGCAGGAACAGAGCTATCAGCTTAGAGAAGAGAAAAAGAACTTGTAGTATAAACACGGTACTGGATCATAATGGATTTGTGCACAAAGACTTGCTTTAGATTCAAAAAATGATCCCCCTTTGTTACCTTACCCAGCCCTGAGTACTTAGCTTATTCAGTTATTCACAAAAAACTAGCTTAAAAAAGATGAGCAAGGGGTATCCTAGAGACCTAATTAACTCTTAGCCTTTCAGTTAATTGAGTGCCACATAAATAGGCCAGCTAAAATACTTTTTTTAAATATGAAATAGAACTTAGTGTATTACATACTTGGCATACTTGACATCAAAAATTAATAGTTATATTTTATATACTTTATATCTTCAACACATGTTATGTACATTGACTGAATGGATCTTCATAACCCTATGTGAATGTACATAAGTGTACATTCCCATTTGGCAACAGAGAAGCCAAAGATCAGAGTGACAGGATGAGTTGTCCACAGACACACAGAAAGTCACATTAAGAGGCAGGAGCAGAATTTCTGAATTCTTGGCTCCCAGTCCAGTGCTTACTCCTTTAGACCACACTGCCCTTCTAAGAGAGTAGAAGAGTCACTTCATTTACAAGGATACTAAGGTAACGAGTCTCAAAACAAGAGATGTTTCATATAAGTAGATGTATGTTGAAAATGAACACAAAAACAATGGATATCATTATCAGGATGTTAATATTATTGAATAATCACTTCCAAGGCCTGATAAGCCGTGTGAAAGTCAATGGGATTTTGTCATTGACTTCACTGGTAGAAAAAACAGACCTGAAATGTTTGTGTAATAAAGAAAGATAATAGAATTTTCAAAACTACATATGATTTACATTTCTTCTAAAATAAAATTTTAAAGATTTGCATGCATGCTGAATGTGTTTAAGGAAACACATTACGGAGCACAAACATATGGGTTTAAGTCAGGCGTATTTCTGATCATGATAAAGCCGTTTGCCTAACCTTTATAGAACTTACTCTGATAGGAAGTACGGATCCGTTTCGTTAAATCAGGATAAAAGTTAGACAGCCCACGCATGCAAAAGTTGTCTTTGGAACATGCCAGTACACCAGCATCAGCAGCAGGCAGAGGAAAGAGAGAAAAAACAGTCTAAAGTGAAAGGAAGTGATATCATAACCAGCATCTAGAACAGCCAAGGTGAAGAAATTTCAGCAGATGTTTACCTTCAGGTCAGAAGATATAACAAGGAAAATAAATAATCCAAAAAGTAAAGGGTGTGGGATGGATGGTGAGAAAGCAGCTGAGGTTTTATCCATGTATATCATTTTTAAGAGTGGTCTAAAAAAGGCATCTTATTTATAAAGATAGGCTCCATTCTAGCAGTACAGCACATCTGGAATGTTGTCCTAAAGGGGTAGCCAAGGTTCTCCCAAATATGGATAATCCTCAGGTGGTGAAAAGCTAGTACAGTCCCCTCTGCATTACTCATCTTCCCCTGCCTATGTAATTTCTGCAGTATTTGGTTGTAGCCTCAGTAACTTAGAGTAGCTTGGGACTGGCTGAGCCATGTAAAGGGAGGGAAAATTACTTAAAACTGCCTTCTCTTCTGCTCTGCTTCACTGTGCCAAGTTTATACCATCTTTACATTTGTCACAGCTGAGAATCAAGTCTGATGTGTTTAAATATTTGTAAAATGAAATAAAGTGATTCTTCAGGGACAGAAATAGAAACCAAAGATTTAAGTTTTTCTCTCTAAGCTTTAATTGTTCAGAGTTCAATCTTGTTTCCAATGCGGTTATTAGCAAAATGATTGCTGATTCCAATGAAAACAGGATTGGGTGGTTAGGCAGAGAGCATGTTTATGAATGTTTACTTGTCATGAACTATTAATACACTATAATTCTACTGTGCAAAATTCATGACTAGACTACAGTTCTCATCTAAAACTATTCCTTTATGTAACTTCAACATTTCACAACTGCCTGTCAATAAGACCTAATTGTGCAAATATGAAATAGCTGTAGATACACACACCCTTTATATGTAACATATTAATTTTTCTAATTTTCTGACTCACATGGAACTTTTGGATTAATAGAAATGTAAGACAAAAAACTAATTGTATTGGTGGAAGCCCATTTCCATTATGCAATGCATAACTATGGCTACAGTGCTGTAGCATGTGCTTCTTGACCTTAAACAAACAACATTTGCACAGATGGATTTTATAAGATCTGGTTAGTATCTCCAAAGGAAAAGAATGAATATGGCTACTTCCTATTTAAGCTGTTTCTGCTACCTAATGAACATGCCAGATAGAATGCTGTTACCTGGTCCTTCAACCATAACTATTTAAATACAACTAGTTTGGTAGAGGTTATATATAGGATTTAAATTCAGATCTTACTTATTGGTGTGAAGCACTTGGCAAGAGGAAAAAAAGCAGCATAGTCATAGAGCACATAATGAATTTGCTAGCAAAGAAACAACCAATTATTTTTTTCCTCACAATTTCTCAGAGACTAAGCTAGGGAGATTACTTACTGACCTCCATCCCAGACAAATTTCATTACATTTGTAATGAAGTAACATTTTGTTTCTACATAAATGTTGGTACCTAAGGAACAATCGGATTTCTTTCTGCCATTCTATGTATCCCATTGGCTGGCAGATTATCATGCATTTCAAAAGCACTATAAAAAGCTGCAGGCAAGAAAACCAAGACCGAGTAAGGCTCACAGCAACTGTGCTTTTTTTCCCTACCTGCGGCGAACTGCTTGCTTTTGCGAGGAGAACGGGGCTGACGCTGATATGGATCACTTGACCCGTACAAGTCAATGGTTCCCATGCTCAGCAACACTGTCTTCTGCATAAAATCCACAACAGCCAAACCATTGCAGTTTCCAAATGCAACTCTGAGAAAAGAAACATTCCTCCCAGATATTACACTTGGGTTTTGTACAATATAATTTATACAAAAAAAATTAAAACAGCCACTATTGTGAACTATGCAAATAATGTTCTCATAAGATCTTATCTTTAATCCTTGAAGCTTATACATTATTTTATAGACCTGAACTATAACAAACTTGCATCCCAAAATGCTGCTATTAACATTACACAAATTAGATGCAGATTACCTTAATCATACTGCATAGTTCATTGCTATAATAATATGCAAATATTGCCATGTTCACCAATATGGTTGTAATAATTAGAATCATGGCAAATAATGACAATTTAAAAAGTGTACAAATCATAGGGTATATATAATCTATGAACAAATACGCAAAGTAATGATATCAAGGTAATGAAATCAAAACCCTGAGAATATTTACAAAATCTCAGCCCAGCTACAGTCTGTGAGGTCAGTCACTCACCTGCTCACACTCTCTCACTGGGGGTATAGAGTTCAAGTGGGGCTTTGTAGCTTGAGTAAGAGCACCCAGGCTCTGGATCCTGTTCTGGGTGCAGGGGAAGATGGGCCTAGCTGTTTTGCTTCTTCATCTGTCTAGCCTGGGAGGACCTTAGCTCCTGTCTCCCATGAAACAAGCACTCCACCCTCTCCTGGAATCTCCTACAGTGCCTGGTCCTGCATCCACTCTTGCATGGCTGTTGACTACCCTCAGGAGTGGAACTGGGCCTGTCTTGAGCTGACCACGCTGCTGCACTTTCTTCTCTTGTCCTGCAGGGTACGTTGGCTTTAGGGGAGACCCTTTGACTCTGCTCTTCATGCTGTACCTGCTCACCCTATCCTTCCCTAACTAGTAAGACTAGACAAAATAAACTCAGAGTGCTGCTTCTGCCACACAACCAGATGACAGCTGGATTGAGGCTATTGCTGTGCATCAGGGCCACTGCTCCTGCCTCATGGCTGGATCACCCTGCACACTGGATCGGTATCCTACTGCACCCACCCTGTGCACTGGATCTAGCCCATGCCAGCTGGATCCAGCTCGCAGACAGACCTGGTGCAGCCCATCCAGCCTGCAGGGAAAAAAGGTCAGGCACCATTGAACGTAGATTAATCAGCTTTGTCCGATTACTAACAGCATTTTTTCCGACAAAATGCAAAAGACCTCTAACTAGTCTGAGGAGACCAATTAAGCTTTAGTCAGGTATTTCTTATTTGGTTGTTTTGTTTTTATTACTTCTAGAACCCTTCTACAACTTATCAGCCCTTTCAAATATTAGGTAGTTGAGGTTTCATATGCATTTTGGGAAGACAGAAAATTCGCCTTGAGTTACTTACACACACATGGGTAGTGCTAGTAGAATTTGGGGGGCATCATTTGGTAAAAAGAAACATGTATTGACCAGTTCAAAAGAAACCAATGTATCTATGTAATGGATTTTTTTTAAACTTTGGAAGTGAGAAAAATAAAAACAGATTTTAATTGGACAGCATAAAGGGCACATCTGTGAGCTAAAGGTCACAAACCTTTTTAAAATTGCAAAAGTATCTTTCCCCTTTCTTTGCACCTGAAAATGGTTTTTTTTCCACAAACTTTTCAAAAGACCTTGATCCACTCTCTTATGCAGAGAATCAGACCTGGGGAACTTCACCCAGCCAAAAGCAACTGCAGAAAAAAATGATTTAGATTTACAATGGCTTAACAAAATGAGTGATGCTCTTCAGCTTTATAATTCTAAGTATAAGAAGAAAAGCATAGTGAAGCTTTGACAAAGGAAAAAGCATTTAGAGGAGAAGATTACTACTAACAGACTTCAAGGCAAATTAATAATGACTGTAATGTGTGTACAGTCATAAGCTTAATAAAAGATTCAGGGTGAATTTATTATTTCCCATCAGTTATTGCACTTATTCACTTTAAAAAAAAGCATGTAAAGAAACTGAATTTTTCATGGCAAAATACATTTAACTTCTTAAAACAGATTTTTTTTTTGGTGTAAGGAATAAAGGCTCATGCTCTTAATTAATTTTCTATGTTTCATAAAAGCAGTACTAACCCTGATAAGCCTTCCTGAATAATTACTATTTGGATGGGCTGAGAACCAGGTGCATGCAATATGGGCATTGATTTTCAGGAAATGTCCCCAGTGGATCACTACTTATAATGAATTTCATGGTTTTTGTATATCTTTATAGATTTTCTAACATAGCTGCATAATTTTGGCATGTTTTCTTTTTTCTACTTTTATAATATGAACAAGTAATTTGATGATTCATGTTGATTGCATGAAAATAAGTGTAAATATTTCTAATTTCAAGCTTGACAAAGCTCAAAGTAAACAGAATTAAAGTACACTGAATTTCACAATGTGTCAGCTGCTTTATTGTTTCAAGCTTTGTATTTCTATCTGCTTTAGATCTGCTATCTATTCTTATGGAAATCAAAGGATTTATTTGGACACTGAAAGTAAAAATCCACTACACACAGGCAAAACTTAAATTCTTTCAACTCATTCCCCACCAAAGGCAACAACATCAAATCAAGCAAGAGAACTACTTAGCAAAAAGATAAAGTTACAGCACCAAGTATTGGTGGAGATGCTATACATGCTGACCACCTCTGGTCAATCTATAATTATAGATAAGTGTAGGCACCCATCAATCCTATGGATCCTGGTTACGTGCAAGAGGTCTAGTCAGGTCTAGCCTGATGAATTTATGTGTACAGAAGCCTGTGACCATCACACCAACACCTTCGACACACACACCTAGGTAAGAGTATGGAGGAGTGGAGGCTGCCCTAGACCTAACATCTTCCCCTTAGACCACTGAGACAGAATCCAAAGGCCAGACCAAGTCCAGATGTTCAGTGCCTCGATGACTGTAGCTTCTGCCAGAGAACAAGAGATAAGAACTGCTGCTGACTGCCTAATGCCTCAGCATGGGCACATTTCTGTCTGGGTGACGTCCCTTCGCTTTTCTCCCACGAAGGAATGCCCACAGGGCAGTGGGGACTACGGTTCTGAGGCACCCTATACTTGCTTTACTCTGGAGGTTGCAACATCGTGGTATTTTATAGAAGCTATCCTGCCACAAGTAGCTCCACCATGTTGCCACCAGTCCCTCCAGGCAGATGCAGTTCATGGTCAGAACCAGGACATGTAACCACAATATAAATATTGTAAGCAGCCTTATACAAAACTGAGAGCAATTATAAAATAGCAGCAGTCTCAGACTATGCCAAAATGACACGGCCATTTTGCCAGGCTGTGAGGCTAGAGATCAAAAGATCATTAAAGAGTTAAAAAGCCTGTTACAGATCTGGAGGAGATGAAAACTTTCAGCAGCTACTGAGTGAAATGGGCACTAATGGAGAAAAAAAAATATACAGGGAATCTTAAGAAGGAGGTCTTTCCCAGAATCAGGGAAGAATAAGCTTAGGGACAAGTTTGCCATATGTATAGTCTACTTTATTGTTTTAAAGTTTTTTTCCTCTGAAATGCTTTCATTTTAAATAAATAATACTCTATTTAGAAGAGGCTGTTTGGTCGCTACTTACCACTGTCACTACTCCTGGAGAAGCAACAGAACTATAGGTATGTGACCTATGTCAGACCTACTGAAGGAAAAATAGTTAGCCCCCAAGGGAGAATTGCAAACTAGGGTTCTGTTTAATAGTCGGAGAATTCCATGATTCTGCAGAGCTTGGTAATGGCTCAAAGCCTGAGACCTACAAAGGTGTGCACTTTGCAATGCCAGGAGGTGAGAAATGTTGTTCACCTCAGTTTTGTGACAAATGCACTGTGGCAAGGCATAATTAAAGAAAGTTCTGAATTTCATGAATAAAGAATTACCCAGGATTTCAAGACAAAGAAATGAATTTATATTAATACACAAGATATGGCTGAAATGTTCAAAGGGGCCTCAGCCAGTCAAGTGACCAACTTCAACTGAAAGTGAGGGAGAGGTGGGCTCTCAAGTCCCCTGAAAGTTCTTTGAAATGCCTGTCAACGCTCTGACCTTGAAGTAATATCTTCCCCACCACAATCAAACTTGCAAAACCTTTTTCCACATGTGAGTTAGTTATCCTAGCAGTCTTTTCCCTTAAGATCTAGGTTCAGGAAACTTGTTTTTCACGTGGACTTTATGTGGGGTAGGTAACTCTGTAGTATACCTGAACTGTATATGGCATGATTGAGTAAAGGATAAATCAGTACAATGCAAACTTTAGTTACTTACAATCCATAAGCAGAGCTTACGGCCAGACTGGTGATCTGTTGTGGAGGCTCACCATCCACCCACACCAACTGAATGACAAGGTCTGCTTGATACCCAGGAGGCATCCGTACCGGTCGAGTCTTAACACTAAGAAGAAAAAGGGAAAAAGTAGAAACAAAATAAACAAAGTACTTAGGCCATGATGACAGAAACCATGAAGCACACTGAGGTATCTAGAATCCTAATGCTCATAAACAGTTCACAGACTCCATTTGTCCCTCCATCTCAAGCAAATGTATTCCTTAAATCTTTTAATCCTTTTAGAACAGTTGCCCAATCCCAGATCCAGTTTCAAAGACTGAATGGATTCCTGCGTGGCTTCCTATGTAGTTTGGTGTGGTTAAGCATTCTCTCTTCCTGGTTTGCCAGGGCAGGTGCAGTGACCTGCAAAGCAGGACCCTGAAGCATATGTACACAGGAGGCTGTTAGAGTTATGCATCCTGTATGCCAGCTGCTTTGTCTTTTTAGTCCCCGTCTCTTCTGTCTGACCATGTTCATTTGCCATCTTCATACAGTATACTGAAGACAGTGTACAATTTGTCTTAAAAGTTAAAGTTTTAAACAGTAAGGAACTGAGAGATTGTCTCACATCTATAGTATTATTCGGGTCTTGTATGCCTTTAAAACAGTGGGTCACTTTGGCTGAAAACAGTTGTGGGAAGGTTTTGTAACTTTGTAGTATTGCTTACCAACTTCAAAATCAACAACACAGGAGTTTAAAGCAACGATGGCTCACTGATGGCAAACAACTATGGATTGGGATTTGGGGGGATTCTGATCATATGTAGATATTTTCTTGATATTTCTGATGTCATTCAGCATATGTATAACTGTGTGGAGACAGATTTCACATTTTGATGAACATCAGCAATTATTATTTCTTTAGCAAGATACAAGGTTGCATTACCATCTGTGCTTATCTGCTTTTTTAAGTGCCTAAATACCTTTATGAATCTGGCTCATAGTCTCTCTGTCATAATTCTCTGTTTATAAAACGGAGTAATAAAAAGGTCTTCACAGAACAAACACACTAAACTAGGGCTGTGTGAAGTTTCAGGTGGTGATTCGATTCGGAGGAGATTCGGCCTGATTCGGTGGCCGAATCTCCGAATCCAAATCGAATGAGGGGACCAATTTAAAGGTCCGAATTGATTCAAAGCTCTCTGAATCTTTGGCAAAGATTCAGAGAGCTTTGATGATTCGGGCAGTCCCTGGTGACTGCAGCAGGGAGGTGCAGCTGCCGCCCCTGGGTGGGTGTAGAAAAGGGTTTTAGCCACTCCAAGCTGGTAAGTACTAGGGGCAGGGGAGGGGACCATGGGGGGACCACCCCACTCCCCTAGCTCCCCCCCCCATGGTTGCCCCAGCTCCGTACCTTAAAAAAAAGCCCCAGTGCTCATTGGGTGCTGCTGGGCAGGGAGGTGATCCCCACTGCCCCACGCTGCATGGGGAGCTCTGCACAAGCCCCCTCGACCCCCACTCCCCTCAAAGGCTGCCCTACCTGCTGGGGCTCCAGCCCTTTAAGGAAAAAAAAAAAGCCTAGAAAAGCCCCAGGACTCTCCGCTCCTGGTGCAGCCTCGGGGCTTTGGGGACGTGTCGAGAGCCCCCACATAGTGTGGGGCAGCAGGGATCATCCCCCACCAGCAGAAGCGGTGAGTCGCAGGGTTTCTTCAGGTTCTTTTTCTTAAAGGGCCAGAGTTGGCCTGTGCAGAGCACCTGTGAGGAGGCTAGGGGAGTGGGGTGGGGGGGTTCGGGGGCTCGTGCAGAGCCCCCCATGCTCCCTGCCCGGCAGCACCTGCTGAGCTGGGGCTTTTTTTTTTCCCAAGGCCCTGAGCTGGGGCAGGTGGGGCACTGGGAATGAGGCAGGGGATGGGCCTGGCCTGCTGATTTGGAGATTCAGCTGCTGCTGAATCTCCGAATCAGATTCGGCTGAATCAAATCAAATCACTGTCCCCTGAATCGGCCAAATCCAAATTCGAAGCAAATACTAGCCGCTTCGCACAGGGCTTACTAAACACTGTGAAGTAATACAGCAACAGGAGGGGGCATGTAGGCACCTTAGAATGCAATACTACTACTACTAACACCACCACCATTACTACTACTACTACTACTATAGCATAAATTTGATGTGTAAAACAAGCTAATGTCTTCCAGAGCACATGGAGTGCTGCACAGCATCATAAAAACACAGTTAATATAACACTCAGAGAAAACCTAATGAGGTTCATCCTACAAAACACAAGTCTAAATGGGTGGTGCTGCAGATGCTGTAAGTACAGTACAAGCACTGGTCATAATAAACTACTCCTTTTAAATGAAAAAAAAGTCTTAATATTTTCAGAGAAGAAATGTATAACTATAAAGACAATGTAGTTCTGGAAGTGAAACACAATTTTACTGAGATTCATTTTTCTATGACAACTTCATTTGCAAACATGGATTTGGCCTAGAAATGTGGATCTTCCACAGTCAATAGAAGACCATAAGAAAAAACCCCCTCAGAATTCCATTCCACCAGTCCCATTCCAGCCTGATGGGATTTAGTCTCATTATGGTAGAAATAGTCATCGCTGAATGAAGCAGATCAGCTGTGCTGCAGCAGAACTGATCTGCTTGCTCCATTGGTCAAAGCACATGTTGCCCCTTGTCCTGCCCTTGGGGGTGCGGGACAACAGGTGATGTGATCTTTCCAATTTCCCTGCTCAGCCAGACCTGTCCCCTGTGGGTTTGGCCAAGTGAGGAAAAGCCCTTCCCTGCTCAGCCAGAACTGCTCCCTTGCAATCACAGAGCATGGGTCTGGTTGTTCAGGGAAAAACCTCACTTTCCCCACTCAGCCAGACCCACTCCTGCAATTGCAGGGGGCAGGTTTGACCGAGTGGGGAACCTACACTTCCCCACTTGTGGAGAGGTACCCCAAGATTCCCTAGGGTGCCTCTGTATAAGTGGGGCAAATGGGAAGGTACAAGCTGCCTGAGGTGGCTCAGATGGCTCATACTTTCTCACTACAGAGCTAATACAGCTTCATAAAGGACAGCAATGTCTATTTGCTCCTATTTGTTTCCATCCCTAGGGATCCAGCCTGTTCCAGGCTCAGGGTTATTAAAGATCAGTCATACTGTCTCAAGACCAGAAAGGTTCCATAGCTTCTCTGATTTACTTTTCAGTTTTGCCCACATGTGGTTCCAGTTCTTTTCTGTAAATCAGATTAAGGCTGAGACTGTGACAGGACAGCCATCAGCCTGCAATGCATCAAGTGCCTCTGAAACTGTCTGAAATTAGTCTTCTAAGTGTAGTTCTTCTCAGCAGAATCACTTGCTGCACAAAATACTTGTTCTGTTTGAATCAAAGTCCTGCTCATGTTCAGCGCAAATATCAACAGGCTAGTATGCCAAAAGGAGCTACCAGCTGTCATCAAGCAGATCTTTGATTCAAACAAAATTACAGACCTTGATAAAACACAGGTGTGCCAAATTCTTTCAGGCTCAGTGGAAAGACCAATTAAGTGCATCTGTGTAAAGATAATAGCTATATATAATGGAAACTCCAGCTAAAGGCTAGCAATATGACTAGACCTAAATACAGCTAGACCCTATGAACAGCAAAGTTTTTTTGGCTTCACATACAAAGAATACAAGTTACTTGTATGCTATATGCTGTAAGACAGGAAGCCAGAAAGATCTTGCAAATATGACCCTGAAAGAAAGCAGAGAACCAGAGCTTGGGATATGGGATATTTTCATCACTTCTCTACTTCTGTTGAATGGTTCAAGTTTTCATTCACAGAGTGAAGTCAGTACGTTTTTTTTTAGTATCTAAACACCTTTCAAATACTTGTTATGATCAGGGAAAGGATTTGGAGACAGTTGAAACATAGATAAAATATAACTCAGGGTAAAACTTTAGCCCCATTGAAGTAAATGGTAAAACTCTCTTAGACATCATTGACACTAGGATAGAGCTTTTTCTTTCTTTTTTTGGTTTGTTTGTTTGTTTGTTTATTTGTTTTTTTGCTGTTCCGTTAAATCCACTGATTTCAGTGGGTTTAATCAGGTGCTTAAAAATGACATACTCTCATTGCTTTATTGAATAAGGATGGATCATTATGAATTGGGCAACAAAGTGAACACTGCTATTTATGTATAAACAACACAGTTGATTGTTATGGTAATTAGATGTTGTTTCTAAGCTCCAAGACGCTATTTTCAGGAGCACAAAAGAGAGTTACTGGAAAAATTAATCAATGATCACTTAAACTGAGTTTGAAACAAATGAGTCATTTAAAATATTTAATAATAATTAGATGAAAATAATTACAAATGCACTAAATTAAAATAAACACGGATCTCAGCAATGAACTATAATTGCTGTTAAATTACAGTTTACAAAATCTTGTAAGGAATGATGAGTTCTGAAATCATTCAAAACTAGAATTTACTAGGGTTATTTGTCAGACCATATTAATCTACTACAAACAGTGCTGAAGTATATATAAATTGCATTTCACTTGCTTCTAAATATTTCCTAAAACCTGATTTTTTTTACACAATACAATTGTATTTCATTACCTGTATGCATTTAATATTGGTTTCATTAATATACATGTTGTTTTTCTTTAAAACGCATACAACGTTTCCATATAGGGAAAGGTGTATCTCTGTACCTTTTGATCAAAGTGGGGAAATTTGTACCTGTAGTTTTGGACATAAGAGTTGTATGAAGGTCACACCCGTCTCATTAATATAAACATAAACAACATTTATATTAATGAAACAGGTGTTAATTTCTGGCAGTGGAAATTTCTGAGAAATGTCCATTGCTAGAAATTTTTCTGAGGGAAAGAGTAGTGCAGGTATTCAGCCTGGCTGCTCCACTCATCCCATTCAAGGGGGTAGGGAATGGCAGGGAAAAATTTACCACACCCTGGTCTGGGGAAGTGTAGGGGACATTGCCCCATTGCTCCCTCCTCTTCCAGACCAGGGGATGAGAAGGAGCTATGAAGCAATACTGCCGCACGCATTCCCCAGACCCTGGGGAACAAGTGGGGATCAGCAAGTGGCTGCCCTGTGCCTCTCCCCACCCGTCTCTAGAAGGGGAGTGAGCAGCAGGGCAATACTGCCTACACCTTCTGAAGACCAGGGTGTCCCCAGTCTCAGGAAGATTTGTGGTGGCAGCAACAGCAAAACTCCTCCAAGATCAGGAGTCTCCCCAGAGTTTCTCCAGTCTGGGGAAGTTGCTGCTTGATTTCTCCTGTAGAACTAAGCAGAGGTATATAGGCATTCACTCTAGTGAGAGAAACTCTTTTGCAGGGGAGATCTTTTAGACGTCAATCTGGAAGAGCTTCTTTCCAGAGGGGGACTGTTTCCTTTGGTAAAAAATGAATGAACTTCTGTACATTAGCAATTTCTACCAAGAGAACGGCGATTTCCCCAGCAGAAATGTAACATTTGTACGTGGCCTCAGTTGCTCAAGGATCAGTAGTGTAACCTAAAGGCTGACCCATGTTGACATACTTGTATTCAGCTGAAAATTGTAGGGACTTTTGCTGCCACTTCATATCCCAAGTCCAGGTCAAATTTATAAGCTAACATCAACATTACATTTCCTTTTGTATAACTGCTTATCAAGTTTCTTCCTTTAATCTTTATTTTCAGATCTTTTCCCCCTGATGTACTGAATCTCCAGACTGAATCTAATTTGATATTTTCTGGACACATTTTTAACCAATTAAAGATTTCTCTGTTCTCACGCATGTTTGTTATGTAGCCCAGCTCAGTATCATCTTGAATGTTATTAACAAAATGTTTATCTCCTTTTCTTGGTAATTAATGAACTTGTTTAATATAATCTATTTGAGTGAGTACCATGCCCTGTAGAAGAATAAATCTTTAAACAAGCGCAGTCTTACCTAAGGCATGGGATACTGTCCTTCATCATTCCTTCACAAGCAACAGTGTTGGTACTGCCTGAAAGGTTCTTTAAGGAAGGAAGCTGGGATGAGGCATCTGGAAACGGAGGAATTATTTCTGGTTCAGGAGTAATGATATCTTCCACTTCATACTGAAGCCGCACCTCTAATGACTTAAAGGAAATCAAAATCTAAGTTATAATTTAATAAAACAATCTCCCTTGGACTTCACTGCTTTTAAATGACTATCAATAATTCTGTTTCAACAACTAGAAAAATACATTTTGGTTGCCATTTGCTGTTAGCAAAGATTATTACTTTTTTACCAAACATCAGCACCAGCAGCTAAGTCTTCCACATATCCCAGGGCTGGTAGAGAAATACCAAAGTGTATATTTCTATGAAATAGAGATTGCCACCACTTCTGATGAAGAGGAAATCTAGCACTCACTCTACATCATACAACAATCCAGCCAGTACTTAAAAATATTAATTAGTATCCTCAGCAGTCACTGTAACTATTCTAATATTATTTTTCTAAGCAACTTAACTAAATCATGTGCAAAGGCTCATCTACACCTCCACCTTCTCACTGCCAGTACTGTACTCTCCACCTAGGTTTCAGCCAACATGTAGAACAGATCATGTTAACTGCTGATCTTCCTTCCCTGTGGGTGACTCCGAGATAACAAATTATTATGATTCCACATTCACTGGAGAACCATATTCCTTGCATGGACTCTTCAGTGGTTTTACCAAGCAAAGTCCAAACAGTTTTCTTGCTCCATGCTCTCTGGGGATGTCAGAGGATGTGGCCCCAACCATCCTTTAACTCTTCTCACTAATTTAGGAAAACTAGCCCAAGACCCCAAGAGAGGGGAAGATGGGCAGGGAATGTGAATTCACAGGAGCAATCATTCTGAGAATCTCAGTTACTATGGTCATATGTACCTCCTTTGGGAACTGTTCAAATTAGATCTTTGTGATGGAGAGTGTAATAGGGAGTTAGAGGGCTCCTATTACTTTAAGAGGGAGATGTAGTAGACTAAGCTGGCCTTGGGAAGGCTGGTAGCTAATACACAGGCTAACTGCTTGTAAATCAGCTGCCAACTAACAGGCAAACAGACAGGCCTGTAGCTACATGGATAGTGGCTGCCCTGGGCGGGGGAGGAGTAACCTTTCCAAGAAGACAGTCACAGAGCAGTAAGCTGTAAATAGGACAGGTCTATGGGCAGCTCAGGAGTCCAGAGCTGCAGTCAGCTGAGCCAAGCCCTAACAGGGAAAACAGACTGGTCCTCAGGCATAGAAGGGGAACACATGACTGGATGGGGCTGGACTTAGGGGGCACATAAAGCCAGTGCCTGAGCCCAGTCAGTCAGTCTGGCTATGTAGGCTGAAAGAGAAAATGCTCCTGAGGAGGAAGGCTGAAGGGGACTGCCTAGTTGACTTGAGAAGCTCTGAGATCTGCAAGCAAGATGCCTATAACTTGCAGAGAAATAGGACCCAGTATGGGGGGCAGTGTGTTGGTTCAGCCAAGGAGCTTGTTTATGTTGAAACCAGCAGCTATAAATGAGAGCCCAATAGATAAACTGTTCAGAGACTATGTTACAGCCAGAGGGGTTTTTCTTTTGTTATATTTAACTGGTGGACCAGGTTTGGAACTGGTAATGGGAGGTGGAGATCCCAGTGGTGCTTGAAGGGCATGCAACTGCTTTGAGCCCCGCTTGGGGCTGGAATTAAGGCGCTAATACACAGGGCCAGGGGCCCAATGCCCAAGAAGGACTGAGATCAGGGCCAGGGGCCACTGCCTGAGAAGGCATAGATAATAACATACGCATGCAAGTTTTCATGCCCAGGAATAGAATTCCCACCTGCAGGCAAGTGGCATTTTTGGCATTTAGATGGAAAGCAGATGACCAAATCTAAACACTTGGATGGCCAGGAAGGAAACAGAATGCCACCCCAAGTGAACAGTGACTGCAGGACTGCTCTCCTGAATTGGCCAACAGATCTAGAATCAAAGACAGATTTAGAAACTGAGGCCGTGTAGACAAAATGAGACGCTTGTGTGCACGACGCTTTAAAGTGGGCTAAATTCTTTTGCACTGCTTTAATGGTGTCAGTGTTTGCACGCCTCAGTGGCATATTGTGCATTAATTACAGCTGCTGTAGGAAATTTGGCAGTGTAATGTGCCTTAAATGACTTGGGGCTCAGCAAACTAAAAACTTCAAGGAGTGAAACTGCACAAGGATGTTCACACAGCTCTAATAGGACCTGTGCATTTTAGTCATGAAGACTTGTGGAAGCTGTGTTAGACCGAGATGAATATGCCTTAGGTTGCACAGGAGGGTAGACATCTGTCTGACTCTAGCAGTTAAACATATGTGATCTGATTCACTGGTCCTGGGATGGCCTCCCTCCTGGTCTTGCTTCCACATACATCTGTGAATCTTGTGCACCAGTTTGGTCCTATTTAGACAGTGAATATATAGGACACTTTTCCAACTATTGTGTAAAAGCTGGACTCCCTGAATGTGAACAAGGAAAGAGGAAAAATGCAGGCTGGCTAATGTTCAGCTTGAGAGGAAAGTTAGGGTATTGATGACATCTGTAGCAGTTACAGATCTGTCACTAGCATTTGACCTCTTAAGTTGTCCCAAGGGCATGTTCAATTCATGCAAGAGCTGAACAGAATGAAAGAGTAACATCAGCCTAATAACTTTTGTCCCATACAAGGAAGTCAAACTTTGCCACCTCTGCTTGGTAATTTGTGTGCAGCCACACAGCTGGGCACCCAGGGCACAGGGGCAGCAGCAACTTCTGGATGCTGTTTTACTGCCAGTATGACTGCAATTGCAAAAATGTGGCTACCTACAGAAGCCATTTATTTTGTATCTCCACTCTCAAGTCAGTGCCCAGGGTGACTGCCCTAGTCATCCTACCCTAGTTATACCACCATTGGTGATTCTCTGCTGTGACGTGCCTGAAAAATGAACCTTATCCTTATGAAGTCAATCCATTTGTCATCTTTGCTTACAAGCAAAGACCCAGAAGCTGCAGCCTGATGTTTTAATTGGTCTCTGATATTTCTAAGGGAGGTGAAAATTTGTGAGAGTAAAACCGTTCAATTTATTTTAAGAAACTTGATACAAAACACACCAAAAGTAGAAACACAATGTATACATGGGGAAGAAGAGATCATCTGACTTGGGCTTGTTGAGGACAATCTCATGGTTAAGCCTAAATATCAGTGTACACCAGACCCTAAGTGACACTTGTGGCACTATCCATATGAATCTGGTTGGCTTAGTTTCCACTTAAGGATAAAAGAAAAACCTAAGCTGATCCTACAGCTATGAATTCCACAGTGTTTCTCTGAATCCTCTCAGTTTTGGTCCATCTCCTGGGGAGACCTCTGAAGGGGCTACAGTCTGTCTTCATGATTTTCATGTAGGTATTTTGAAAAGGCATCAGCTGCTTGGGGTTTGTTTTAGAGTTCCATCATTTGAGGGGAGGAAAGATTGAGTGAGGAGTTTGATACCAGTCTTCAAATGCAGAATTGATTGTTATAAAGAGGGTGGTGTTATGCGAGTCAACAGGGGCAGGATAAGACATAATGGACTTAATTGAAACAAGGGAGTTCTAGATTGAATATTAGGAAGAAATCTCTAACTCTGAGAGCAGTTAAGCACTGAATAAGATTACCTAGAGAGGTTGTGTATATACTGGAAGTTTTCAAGTGCTGAATACAAATATCTGTCAGGGATGGCTTGGACAGAAATGATCCTGCCTTTTTCAGGGCATGGGACTAGATGATCCTCCTCTAGACCTATTTTTCATTTATTCTATGATGAAGGTCATTGGACCTTTCTCTGTACTTCCAAAGACAGACAGACTCTTTCCTGTAGTTCTTCTCCAAAGCTTGGCTTAGGAAGCCATACTAGGGAAGGACTGATGCTTTCAATAGAACATGAAGTACCTCAGGCTCCTTGCCTTCAAAGTTTCCTGTGGTGTAACATAGAGTTGACATTCACGGATCATCCTCTGTGCACTCACTACGAGAAGGTGAGCTTAACATAAATTTATCATCCTGGGACAGGAAGAAATAGATCCAGATGCCAAAAGGCACATGAAACCTGGATACATGTCTGCATCACAACTTGGCCACCTATTCTTTTTTGCAGAGAAGTCACTGTTCAGGGGTATAAACCAGAAGGATACTCAGCAAGTGAACCCAAACAGAGGAGAAGCTGCAGAGGGAAGATGGAGAGGCTCCATCTGCTATGGAGATGGGAATATGCAAATTCAGACTTCACTGACCACGGTGAAACAACACTTCACAGAACAACTATTTTTGTAAATATTTCTATACTGGAGTTAAAATTTGAGAAATAGAATAGTACATTTACATAGATTTTTACTTCAACAAAATCCCATTTTTAGTGGCAATTTGGCTGAAAAACAAAGTTAGAAAAGTAAAGAAGATAAAAGTTAGATAACAATTGTGGAAAATGTAGAACTGCTATAAAATTATATAAAATATTGAGATATAATAATTTTCTGAACACTGCATGTGGCTTGATGAGATGACGTTACAGTACAATGGGTTATAAAACTTTCTTATGTGAAAGTACTGATCTAGCTTAAATCGGTGCTTGTGGAAAAACCAAACAGGTAACACAATAGCTATAGATAAACAAATGTTCCAACAAACACTGGGGAGCAACTGCAAGGCAATGGCATATCTTCAGGTTTAAGCCGAAGTGACATGGCTGATTTGCAGGGCCGGAAGCCTAGAGATCAAAAGGATACTGTGGGTGCTGACAGAAGTGACATTTTGTCACACGCTCAGCCTCCTGAAAGTGCTCTATAGCCGTTCCCTGACAGAAGTGCGTGGCTATGGAGTGCTTTAAAAGTGCCTGATCATGCAACAAATGAACATGTTCGGATGAAGGTGCTTCAAAGCAAAACAACTTCGTTAGCTTCTGTGAGCATGTGCTGGGAGCGGGGCTGGGCTGCTGCAGTCCAGCCCCGCCCCTGCTGTTGTCTTCAGGATGGGGGGGGGGGAAGGGAGCTCTGTCTGGGTTTTGCCCAGCCCATGTTGGAGGGGGGAGGAGGGGTGGACTGGAGCCCCCCCCCCCCCCCCCCCGCGGGGGGGGACTCCATACACTCCCCTCAAGCATAGGCTCGGAAAATCCCAGATGGAGGTCCCTCTCCTTTCTTCCCACCCCTCCAGCCTGAAAACAACACTGGAGTCGATCCCCCACTCTCCCAGACACAATAGAGCTTGTCTGCTGGGTTGGGGGGGACTGCTGGAACTCATGGCGCTTCCTATAAAGTGCCATGAGTTACGGCAGGGGGCTTCACACCTGTCCGTGCCCTGTATGCTGACAAAGGCATCTCAGGAGCAGTGGAAGACCAACTTTCAGGTGCTGTCTGGGACAGCAGACAAAGAGGAAGGCTTTGTGGAAGGAATCAGAAGAAGTTGAGGTCCATCCAGATCCATACACCTGCAGTCAGAAGAAATAGGCATGCGTATGCAGAGGCACGGTATTTTAATATCTATTTTGTCTTAAGTGCTATTGTTCTGAATAAATAATACTTTGCATTATGAAGCTGTTTTGCTACTATATTAGGTACTAGTCACAGCTTTTGTGGGGAAGGGAACCTAAGGGTTATTTCAGACTTGCTGAAATAACCATGTTTAGTATCAGGGAACTGCAGTTCAAGGCCTGGCCTGAGAGCAGGAGAATCATGTGAATCAACCCCAAAAGGGTAACTGGCTGGGTCCTGACACCAGAAAGGGGTTCAACTCAAAGAGATGTAGTGAGGGATGCTTTGACTATTTACAAATTCTGTGAACATGCTAAAACCTAGTCTGAACTTGTATGAAAAAGGTGGTAAAAATTATCATGCAAGTGAAAAATGAATGTTGACTATCAAAAAGTACAGACAAACTACTTTACACATTATGCTGTGACATTCTATGTTGAGAATTTTCTGTTCTATTTTTCATAGTGAAAATCATTTGCTACCTATCTTGTAATGATAAAGGCACGTAAAGCAACAGACATTTCAGAGCATACAACTAAAACAGAGACTAACCCAATAGCTCAAAAACAAATCAAGTCTTGATCCAGTATTATATTTTGTTGCTACACCAAAATAATGGAATTCAATTCCAATTAAATCAATTATAGCCTTGCCATTGATTTCAATAGACCTGGGAATTCACTCAAAATGGTTGAACTATAATGTTGCAGAATTTATATTTGGGCAACTTAATGGAAGCTTTATTCTGATACATACATATGACTAGCAGGCTCACCTGAAGCACTCCATCTTGGAAATTATGGCCTAAATTATTTATTCTTTCCAGTTATTATCAATATTTGAGTAAAATTCTGAAGGACTTACTGCTATTTCAGTATTAACTTCATGTTTGCTGAATCTGTAAATAATAACATATGCAGAGACTCCTGCCACACAGAATATCCGGCTTTCAGGACACCAGTACATCATCTGAACGGCATAAGGGTCTTCTTCCACAATCTCAGCTGTGGATTTTCCTTCTCCTAATTTCTGCTTTTCAAACACCTTTGAGGTTTTTAACTTGTACAACATCTGTAGAGTTACTGCAAAATATTAAAACACATCTAAAATATTGTTTAACATTAAACAAACCTAGGTACTAGATTTCTTAGTTGGTGGTCTTTTAGACATGACTTGCTATGTAATGTTATAAAAGTTCAACAGAACAAGATAATATGGACAGCATTGCTAAGGTTTATATGCCAGATTTCCTGAATTTGACATTTACAAATAGGTCATTTGTTAGCATTTTCTTTCTGGGCAAGAAACTTAGAAAGCACGAGTTTCAGTCTCATGTTTAGACTTAAGCTCTGATTCAGTGCTCCTTTGACAGTCAATACTGAAGAGATGCAGAACTGCTTGCAACACTGTCAGTGCCATCTTCCTAATAAGATATTAAACTTAGATCTCTTTTATCTGCCTATAGCTGCTATCTTATTACAAATTAAAGATCCCATGACACTTCAAGGAGAAAAATAGATAATTCTGGTGTCCTGAGTAGCATGAGGGTTATAGGATACTGTTAACATCCCAAATATGGAATAACAACAGTGTATTATTTATAATAGTGTTCAGAGGCTACAATCAGGATTGGGACCCAATTGTGCTGGTCGCAGCCCTAGATTGAAAGACTTTACAATATAACCAACCATATTATGCTCCATTACAAAAAACTTTCTACATTAATGTAGACTACAGGAAAAATACTATTATTCACACGAGATTGAAACATCTCCAGTAGGCTTTGTTTTGGGATGGGGAGAAATATAAGGACCTGCTTCTTTCCTCATACCAATTTTATATCAGTGGAACTCCATTACATTCAATGGTGCAAGTAAACAGAGAAACATGACTGTTTAGTCCTGAAAGAGAGGTGTATTCTATGTTTTGTAAAAATTTCTTTTTTGGATACTGTTTTTTTCAATGCCGAGGTCAAAAGCAGGACTTTTAAAGCAGTGCACGTGTTGCAGAGTGGGGATGAGGAAGACACAATGAGTTTCTTTCAATATTGTTCTGGTCAGTTTTGCCTGTGTAGAGAGACAGCAAAACATGGCCGCTCTTATTCAGCAGTATTTTAAACTTATTTGGCATTTCCGTAGCACTGGTATTTATGGCCGACTACACATGTGCTTGGAGGTGGGTGGGAGGTTAATTAGAGCACTTCTTGGGCAGCCGCTCCAATTAAAGGGCCTTACTGTCACATGTATGAAGCCCCCACACCTTTAAAAATGGTCGTGGATTGCTTTATCTAAACCTCATTTGATGAGGTTTACTTAAAGCTCCCTATGAACATTTTAAAACGTGAGGGCTTAATACATGTGATGCGGTGGCAATGCTGTAGCATTTTAAATAGAATGCAGAACAGACTCGATTAATCAAGTCTGCTCCAACACGTTCCATTTAGAACACCAGTGAGCACAAGTATAGGCAGCCTTTGTTTGCATGAGATTTAGGACAGCAGTAGCTCAAGTCCAGCATCTTCAGGATGTTTACAGAGCAAAATGAAGATGTGATTATAGCATGGATTCAGTGGCACAGGCTTTTTACATGTGCTAATAAACAGTGGATAAACTCTCCAGGGACTTTGCATATGTTCTCTGGTAGCTATCACGTGCTGAGTCCCTTGCTGTTGTGTCTTCACTGCTGTTTTTATCTAGACTCATTAGACTAAGCTTATGTCAATACTGGAGACTGCAGCGACACCTGAGCTAGCTTAAGATGAGCTAACTTGGGTACAGGAAGCAGACAGGCCATGGCAGCAGAGCTCACTGTGGGCTCACTTGATCTTTGCCAAAAGGTTGAGAACTTCTGTCCAGAGAAACAACCTGACAAGACACTGATATGTGAAGAATTGGAAAAATTCTGCAGACTTTGCCTGAAAGAATACTTCCATAACCTGGACAGAGCATCAGTAGCATAACTGGGGGGAGAAGAAGTGACTTCCACCGCAAGTTCAAAAACTATCATCCTCAATTAAAATTCTCTCTGGAATACTCCACCACTAATATCAACTGTCTAGATACAACAATATACATCTGGGATGGTAGCCTACAAAAAACTCATGGACAACCACACCTATGTCCACAAAACCAGCAATCATCCCAAACACATCAAAAAAGCTTTAAATGACAGTCAGGCCCTCAGGTGCCAACTACATCTGCTCCAAGGGGAAAACTCATGACACCCACATTGCCAAATGAAAACTGCCTTTGCCCAGAAAGGACCCTCTAGCAGAGAAACAGACTGCATCTTTGAAGGAGCCACCCAAATTCCCTGCAGCAACAAGAAGAAAACCTCCATTGACTGCACACCCTTGGTTGTCACCTACTAACCCCTTGAACCAATAAGAAGGATCATCAAGCAATTATAGCTGATACTCAAAAAGGACCATACCTCAAGAGAAATATTCCCAGCCCCTGCAACTCCTGACTTTCAGACAGCCCCTTAACACCATCCAAGTCATCAGAAAGAAACTCCCTGCTGATCAACAGGCACCAAATGGGATCTAACACTGTCTTAACAAAAAATGCAAAACCTGTCAACTCATCTCCACTGCCACAACGGTCAACACTCCCCACAATGAATCAATCAGAATTCACATGTCTATCCTAGAATATGGTACACCTAATCCAGTGCATCAAATGCCCACATAGAAACTATGTGGGTGAAACTAAACAAAAATTATACACTGGAATGAATGGTTACAGAAAAAACTATAATGGACAAAGACACTAGAACAGTGGTTTTCAACCTTTTTTCATTTGTGGACCCCTAAAAAATTTCGAATGGAGGTGTGGACCCCCTTCAATTGTAAGTGTGGGTATTCACATACTTTTTTGATGATCATAGTCATTTTTTTCAGACTCCTTAGACATAGTCTGTGGACCCACAAGGGGCCCTAGCATCTTGAATTAGAATTGTCTTTGGATATATTTAGCTCTTTAAAAAAATACCTGTAAATACCTGACCTCTCATGAAATTATGAGACTGATCTCATGAAATGGCAGTAACTAGAACTGGGACAGACAAGTTTGATCCAGTCAAGACTATCCTCATGTATCCACTGTAGGATTTTCCCCTATAGCTTGTTTCATGGGGTTTAGTCTGCTTTAGTTTTCCACTTACAAACTGTGGCATTTTGCTCTCTTTGGAAGATTATTTTGTACACTAGCAGTTCACTGTGAAGAATTTAATTTTTTTTTATGATATTTAGCTTAATGACTCTTTTCTTAATTTCATCCCATTGTTTCTACTTACACTACCCTAACCAAATCCCTCAATCCAGGCATATATTATAATAAAAATAGAAACTTACTGGCGGAGGCATCCCAAAACTTTACTGATCCATCTGCATGACTTAAAAAAAATTAAATGTTGGTTAATACAAAACATGACATTATTTCATCTTCTCTCAATTACTGATCATTCAAACAGCTCAACTGAGTCACTGCATTTGTTATGTTAGAATACCTTAGCTGGCCTTTCCTTCATTCTCACAATCTAGCCTAAACTTGAAGTGAAATATGAAATTGCAGTGATGCAATTTACATTTATACTATCTAAACAAATGAAATAATGTAAACATAATGCATTAATTGATTTGTAGTGTACATATACAGTACATCAAAGGAAATGCAGATCAACAGTATGTCACTATAATTGCTTCCACACAAATTAGTTACCTAGGAATTTGCATGTTATTCATTTTAATTTTCCAAAAGAAAGAGCTCTCACATATTTTATCAATGCTTGTGCTTTTTAATAGATAAGCTCAGATAAAAAATTAAATCTTGATCTATTATCTAAGAGAAATTTCCAGCCTGTTGATACATGTTATGTATGTTATATATTATGGAGTCTCTGTGGTAACTTAGTGAGTTTTTTTAATTTAAAACTGTCACAAAGATACTCTATTCATTTTAAGATCCATTGTTGATACAACAGTAAGCGCCAGATTCTTCCATCCTTGCTCACAATGGGCACATCTACATAAGACATTTACTGCAGAGTAGACTAATTAGCTCCACAATAAATGGCTTGGCATCTACATGTACATCCCTATTAGGCTGCAGGAAACTAATATACTCTGCAGCAAGTTAGTACTTGTAAATACAAGTACTATCCTGCTGCAGAGTTTTTTTTTTCATACATAGCAATGCATGCGTAAATGCTGACCAAGTTGGCTGGGGCATGAAGGTGCTTGAATGCAGGGACTGCCTACTGGCTAGCCCCACAATGGAGCACCCATTCCTTGGTGCACGTGTAAACATGGTGCCTCCGATAAATAAATTCTGGTGCGATATGCACCACGTGTTTATTGTTCTGCCTTAATATGCACATGCAGATGCGCCCAATGAGTAGCATCTTCTTTATGATTGGTTTTAATGGGCATATTTGCAGAATAAAATGCTATTCCATGTGTGCAAGGGCAAACAAAATGGGACCCTAATAGTTCTGCTTTGCTTTACCACTCACTGGTTGTGACAACTAGAACTGGGCAAAATTCAGTACATTCAGATTACATCAGCCAGAGCCCAGTAAATTGCCCTGGAAGAATTCCTGTGTTTTTAAGAAACAACCTATATAGTGCTTTTCCTGGTCTGGGCTGAGGCTCTGAAGTCACAATCTAGCCCAGTCTATTAGATGTGGCCACTAACAACATTTTAATTAACTGCAGCTGCAGTTAGAAGAACCTCTCATTGTCATTCTTAAAGAGGCATGGAACTAAAATACCAATAACATAATTCTTTTTGTCTGGAATAAAAAGTTTAACATTTTTTTCAAGGATCTGATTATTGGGAAAAGCAGAACATGGTCATACTGTATCTTAAGAGCTGGAACTTTTAAAGTTCTGAGCTCAATGGAAGCTACAGCAGCAGAGAGAAAGAATACATATAGCAAGCATAAGTAAATTATTTTCATAAGAGATGAAGTGACACAGAATTAAATGTATATACTATTAATGCAACTGTAGACACATGCAATGTGTATTATATAATATTAATACACACATAATAATTTGCAAAGACATAGTGCTTTATAACACATCTCTGATCATTCACTTACACTATACCCACAGCTTAATTTATTTAAAAAAAATCCAAACCTCTGATTAGATTCAAATAAATTAAATCAAGCCCCAACAAATACTTCTTTCACTCTTCCAAAAATATGGAATTTAATACTCCAAGTTACAGTAGCTCAGGACCCCAAACAGACCAAATTAATTCCAGGGCCAGTGACAGGTTTAAGGTACAATACCTAATGACCCTGCATAGAAGGTGAAATTCATCCTCTTGCAGTGGGTCAGCACAAAACCTAATCACTCAAGTTCCACATATGCCTAATTTTGAAAAGGTGGGGTTAACTATGCCTTCAATTGAAATGAGAGTTGTATGACATCAAAAAGAGGGCATACCTGAAAGGTCCAAAGATACTGATCCTTAAAGTTGTGCTATTTTTTATGAATATAAAAACGTTTTGAGGGTCTGGGGAAGGGCGTATTTCTTTTCAAAGACAGAAAAATCCCTCCTCCCTGTTCAATACACAAGGTATATTACAGGGCTTTCTCAGATGCATATTGTTGCCATAACTAAAGCAGCTGAGAATTGAGGGTAGTGATGGCTTCATCATGGAAAAGGAGACAGAGCTTCTGTTGTACTGTGCTGTATTGAAGACCCAGGAGGCACTGTGACTAAGTCAGAAACTTTCAGTTATCCTGAGGTTTCCCTGCTAGGCTGGATCTTAAAGGTACAAATCTCAAAATGTAAAATTCACCACAATACCCAGAATTTACACAAACTTGGAGAGATTAACACTATGGTCCAGATTCACTCCAGCCAGAGAGTCCCCTAAAATCAAAGCAACTTTGCTAAATAAGTGCTTGTGGAACTTTTGGCTCCACGTTTCATGTTCTGCTAATGACATCTGTTTCTTAGGGTGGCATTGTACAGTGGTCATCTAGTGTCCTGATTGGTCATCTCCAAGGTAATTTCTGCACTTACGTGCCCAGAGGAATTCTATTTCTGGACATGTAACCCTGTACACATGGATGACTATGTAAACTGGGCATGTGGAAACTGGCAACAAAACAGGAGAAAGATCACATCTTTTCTCTCCGGTAGCTAAATGGCGAGGGCACTCACCTAGGAAGCTGGAACATGTGTTCTAAGGACCACCGTTCCCAGAGGAAGTTTGAAGCTGTGTCTCTGACTTTCCAGCACACCACCTTAATCACCGCACCACAATTATTCATTAATCAGGCTCTTTTCTGATGCTCATTTTGAAACTAAGCCATTAATGTAGCAGTTAAAATGAATGGAGGCCAGTGTAAAGAAGAAGCTTCTGACTGACTGGAGACAAGGGCCCAGACTGGAGACTAGCCACTTACCTGAACCACACACCCTCTGGCTTCCTGCTCCCTCCTGGCCCCCCAGAAGGCCAGCTTTAAAAGGAGCGCTGGAGAATAGATGGAAAAATGGCTAACCTGTATCACTGCAACAGGAGTGCTATGCTGAGAAGTCAGAAAATCCCAGGTTCAAGCCCTGTCTGGACGTAGAACCCAGGTTCCTTGGCCTCCTACTTGAGTGCCCTAGCCATGCAGGTACTGAGAGGAAAACTTGGGAAGTCTCTCTCTTCCTCCCCCGTTTCTAAGTCTACATCTGGTAGTCAAGGGACTTTGGGTGTCTAAGGCCATTGTGCATCCACAAAGAGTGCGCATATATACTCTGGACCCTACTGCACATACTCTGCAGGCATACCTACATAATCATCCATAGTTGTTCATGTAGCCAGGGTTATGCATCCAATAAAATAATTGCTCTGGGTGCGCAAGCGCCAAAAATGCCATGCAATTGATCACTTAGATGAGAAGGAAGGAACAGAATATCACCCTTAGTACTCATAGCTGACTACAGTACTCCCTTGCCCTGAGCACCTCCTCCCATAGATCTTTAGCTCTCAGCTTCACAGCTATAGGGGCACCCTCCTAGCTTGGCTTTCAACCTAGGTCCTAGATTAATTTGTTCTGAGTACAAAGGATTAGTTGCTATTTAATACCTTATCGTGTAATACCTTAAGTGTTGTATGAGGACTTGTAAAGTCCCTCTGATCTAGGAGGAATTTCACCTTAGGAGTACTATGTACCACCAAAAATGGAGGTGGTGTGTGCCTATTCTGATGCTCTGGTCAGCCATCTCTATTGCTGGATGGAGGTATAAGCTGTAGATGTGCACAGTCAAAGGTTCTAAATCAACATCTCAGAAACACAAATGTTCTATTCCGTTCTTACCCTGTAATAATAATTTCAGGATAGGTTTGTGCTCCAAGATTCCACGCTCCCCCACTGATGGGCCATTCCTAAACACAAGTACATGGGTTCAGAGAGCAGGGTTATTTCTGACAGACCTCTATTAAGTGAACAACAGATGAAAAATTCTTCGAGAAAGTGATATTTCTCATTAAACTGATTTTTAGACACACACTAGTTATTTTTCACTTTTCCTCCCTGACAGTCTCAGAACAAGGTAGAGATCTTGGCTATGGGAGATCCTTGCCCAAGAAAGGGGAAATGAAAATAAAGTAAAGAATCATGAACTTGGGGTGTTAAATGAGAGAATAGGCCATGCATGTACCATATTAAGCCACCCTCTGTTACTGGGCTTTGCTTATAAATGGTTGGGGTTACAGCAGTGATAACCACTCCTCCCCTTGGGAACTGTCTGTCTTGCAGAAGGCAACTATTGAACTGTTTTAAGTAAGAGGATGTGTATATGGAATTAACTGGGCACAGAGTGGGGAGGGTGATATCTGTGCAGAATGAATGAAAATGCATGTACAATATGGAGAGGTGGGAAAGGAAGGGGATCATAGAGTGGTTAGGCATGTATGCAGAATCAGTGCATCTGGAGGTGTGGAGAAGGGTGTCTAAAATGAATAGCTATGTAAATTCAGCAGTGTTTATGCAGAATGAGTGGATGGGATGGTGTGGAATGAATGGGAGTAGGTGGTGAAGTGTTTGGGGAGGCATGCATAACAAATGAGTATGGGAGGAAATACTAGATGGGCAGCAGGTGACCCAGGTGGGGTGTGTTGAATGAATACATGGAGAGAGCATGGGTAGGACAAACAGGCAACATGTGCATGTTGGACAAACAGGCAAGTGCATGTGGAATTATACCAAAGATTTTATGTTCATTTAAATATATGCTAAATGTGAAACTCAGAAGCAAGTTTTATTTGAAAATGGTGGCAACAATAGAAAAAAATTACCATTAATCCTAAAAAAACTATCTTGAAATCTAGCTACTACAAAAAGTCTTAGTTTTACCCAAATGGGAAGAAATAGGTCCTGTGTTATCAAAAACATTAAAGACCAAAAAAATCTGAAATGAGGTATTTAGATTACTTAAATAATATATTTTATTATAATTGAAATTCACACAAATAAAACATTTGCTTTTAAATTCTCAGAAAATGCATTCTGCTCTTACTAAGTGCTGTAATTTGGAGAAGTATGGCAGTGCCTAACAAAAGTTAGCTTTGCTTTTCTTTCTTTGTCTGTTTTCCTTTTCTTAGTTCTGCTTTCAAGATCATTCTTAGATTTACATTGGTCCCTATTTGTTTACATTCTGATTCAGCAAAGCATGTTCCATAATCTCCCTGACTTCAACAGGATTTAAATGCATCCTTAAATTAAGTTTATTGTTTATGTGCTTTGCTAAAACTGGGACCTTTGACTATTGCACCAAAGGCAAGTTAACATAAATGAATGCAAGCCCAAGGTGAACACTGTAATCTCCACAAATGAGAGACTGGTAATAACCCTGATTTGTTTACACAGTAACTTTTCTAAGTGATTTATGACATTATAACTGGTTGAATATGGAACATACACCAGATTAGTGCTTGGAATGATGAAGCTATAGTATTTTTCATTTCTGTAGCACCTTTTAAACAAAGTTGGATGTAATCACATAATTAAACATTGTACTGCTTCAGTAAAATACGTATTATTCTCCCCATTTAATAACCGGAGGATTCACAGAGGGTCTGATCCTGTGAGGTGTTGAAAATTCTCAACTCTTGCTCAGTCCCTTCACCTGGCAGGATTTTAACCCACAGTGAATCAGTGAGAAAACCGGTGTAGCTTGCAGTTACAATTAGACACTGCAATGTTTCCTTAGATATAGATTAACAAGACTGAAGCCCAGAATGCTAACAGCAGATTTTTTTAACAAAGAGAAAAAGTATTTTTTCCAACTTCAGAGCCAGATAATATGCTCACACCTCAGCCGATATTAGCTGTTCCAACATATGCAAGTCAAGATAAAACAGAAGGTTTCTATCATTTACTTAACCAGTAACACTCATGCAAAATGAAACTACAATTAAAATATTAAATAACAAATGACAGACTAACTCCATGGACCAATTCAAGAACATCAGCATTTAGTTACAATACTTCCATCTAAAAGTATTCTGTCTTTTGCCCAGATGACTAGTCTGACCCATTAAAATGCCTGCTCGCTATTGTACACATCTTCAATGTGCTCAGAGGGGCATGTAAGGAAAACTTACATGACTTCACAGAATAGCAGATATATGAGATCATGAGCCCTAAAATTATATCAGATTCCTTTTTATTTCCAGCACCCAGCAGTCTATTGAACTTTCAGACCACATTGCAAGGAAGAAAAGACAGGCTGTTCTCAAATTAGGAAGGGAAATAGTTGACCCCTGAAATTAAGCCTGATGAAGGATTCTTGTTCCTATCTGCTACATGGAGCTTGTTCTTGAAGATGGAGCTGGTGGCCATCTCCATTGTTCAGCCAGCCTTGATAATGATAACACAAAGGGAAGTTTTTCCTAAGCGCTGGGCAGTGCAGGCCAAAGGATCTGGTAATAGAATTGATCATGGCTTGCTTTTGTATGTCCAACACTACGTGTGTGTGTGTGTGTGTGTGTGTGTGTGTGTGTGTGGATATCTATGTTAAAATAGATACTATTAGCTTTTAAAATATACATTATCACGCACTAATAATTAGCTAACAGCATCCATCTAAAATTAAGAATTTTAGGAAAAGAGAAATGCCACATTGGATGTGCCACCCTGTATAAGTATCACACTTCAATTACAATTTCAACAAAACAAAAATAATTTTGTCCCAGTACTAATATATCAATATTCCATTTTCAGAGTCCTTTACAACACAGTATAAATATCTCAGAGAGCTAGGGAAGAAGACAAGCTATATAAGTTCTGCAAGTATTTTCTGAAGTTCATCTTTCCATTCTTTAGCAAATGGATTATGAACAAATTGTGGACTTTGGCCTTAAAAGCAAGAAATCAGAAGCAAGACTCTCAGGGCCCTGTTACACAGTAATTTTGGGTGGCTCCTGGAGCTCTTAACACCTGGACTGTTTACACATTGACACCTGAAACTGGTTTTAAGCACTCTGCAATTCAGCATTATACCACTCTAGGGCCACTCTAGAGTGCCCCCCGCCACTGGCCCAAATCAGGCCCACTGCCGCCCCAAGCACCCTAGATCCCTGCTCAATGCCCACCCCCCTCCCTCTCCTTACTTGTGGCTGCCTGTGCTGTCTGTCCTGGGGGAGCAGGCACAGGAGGGTTAACTTGCCTGTCAAGCTGCCACTGTTGCTGCTCTCTAGGCAGGCTCAGCCCAGAGAAGAGCAGCAGGCTGGCAGCAGTGGCTGCTGTCCTGGAACGGACATTTCAGGCAACCACAAGTAAGTGGGGGGTGGGAGGGGAAATGGGGGAGCCCCAGGGAGCAGGGGCAGGGTAAAGCCCAGAATGGGACTGGGGGAATTCTTACCTTTCAGTCATCCAGGCCCCTACTGGCCTGAAGTGTGACTGCTTCAAACTCCAGCTAGCACTAACGCCCGTCAACATTTGTGTGGCTCACAGTTTAAGTGTACCTAGGCCCTTATAGACTTCAGTGGGAGTAAGAACAGATTACAGACCAAGAACAAACACACCTTTCTCAATCTATCTTTAAAATACAGTAAATAAGGGTACTTTACTATACAGTAATATTTTCCCCAAGATGTATTATCTATGTACATATTTCCTTCTACACATGCTGCTTTTACTCAAGACTCAATCTTCTGGTTAGCAGTTTTTATTGTGCATATGCCATCACACCCCTCCTCACAAAGGCTGCTTGTACATGTGATGGGGGTTTAGTTCTCCCTAAATTGAAACAGTGGGTTTTTAATTGCGTTGATTAAAAACTCACTGCTTCAATTTAGAGACTTTTGTCACATCACAGTGACAGGCCCCCCATCAACTCACCTGCCTCCCTCCGTCGCTACCCATGGGTAGGCTCCACCAGAAAAAAAATCAGTGAGGGGCCTGATCCTTTTTCTCCCTGCCTGCCTCTCCCGCGGCCAGGGGGCGAGCTGTGTGGGCCCCGAGCTAAAATACATCAGATGGGTTTTACCTTGCTACGTAACAAGGTCACTTAAAGCAAAATAAGCTGTCACATGTGTACCCTGTGACGAAATTAAAGTGAAATACATTGCCGCAGGGGTAAACAGTGCAACATTAAAGCAGTGCAAAAGGGCAATTAAGCCGCTTTAAAGGCCAGCTTTGTCAAGTGTACAAGTGCACAAAGACCTGAATGACAGAATGGACTCAACTCCCCTCATTTCTTTTGACAGGACAGGTGTTAAAGGACTCTGTAGTACTGGGGAAAGAGGATGGGTGCTGGAATCATGGACAACACATCTTGAAGTACCACAGATTCTCTAACATGTGTAACCATCTCTTTCTTTGTGATTGTCCAGATATATTTAACTGCTGATGACTAAGCAATAGTGACCAAATATGAAGTGGGGGTAGATTCTTGTTGCTTGTTTACCTAAATAAAGACTTCAACAAAGCTCTGCCAAAAGAAGCATCAGACTCCGATGCTCTCATCAGAAAATGGTGTTGCCTACAGAAAAAGATTGAGTTGCAAATCACTGCTGTGAATACTTCTGATATGGGTATTGTTTCTCAAGTAAACTGCAGATGCTGCCTGAGTCATAGTGGAAAAAGTCATCATCTGGGCTGGAGATTTACATTCATTAGACTCATTATAGAGTCTAATGAAAATCTATACTAGGAAATGACTCTGAAAAGACTATAGACCCTGATGGATAATTACTTGAACATGAGCTCCCTCTGTGATGCCAGGTCCAAAATGTTTCTCTCTTGCAGTAACTTGGATGTATAAATTGGAATATAGAGGAGGTGTACAGAGGCGATTTTAACTCTGTATTTGCACTGGTGAAACTCTAGAATACTGTGACCAGTTCTGGTGCCCACTGTTAAAGAGTATTGTGAAAAATTAAAGAATGTTCAGAGAAAAAATCATGAGAAAGATTTAAAGATTGGAAAACCTGCCTTGTATAGTGAGAAACTCAAGAAGCTTAATTTATTTAGTTTATCAAAGAGAAGCCTCAGGAATGATTTGATCATAGTCTATAAGAACCTGTAAGGAAAATACAAATTAAGAACAGATAACTCTTCCATCTATCAGACAAAGATACAAAGTTTCCAAAGGCTAGAAGTTGATGCCAGACAAATTTACACTCAAAACCAGCTGCTAATTTTATCAGTGAGGGTAATTCTTCACTGATAATATCACAAGCAACAAGCAGCTTTCATAAACTTGATAAGATCTGAAAAATATCATATTCAGTAGATGCAAAAATGATATTTTCAACAATAGCATAATTTCTTTCCTCCTTTATGAAGCAACTTTGGAAATCCACATAAGTTATTGATAAGAAAATCAACACATTTGAAATCAGATGCCAGCAGAAGACCCTCAGTCTTTAGGACAGTTTGTTACAAAATGAGAAATCCAAGTAGAGCAAAACAACCTAAAGCATCAAAAGATGCCAAGACAGCACTTAGGACAGATTTTAAGAGGGCCATCAATATCAAATGATAACATAGCCACACCCTTAAAGAGAAGAGTGCATCCTGGAGAAACATCTGGAATAGGGGAGGAAAGTCCATTCCATCAACATGACACTGAAGCAACTGAATGGAGCAGCACAGAAAAAGGCACATCAGACTCCTGATAAATGCATCAAAGGTTGTGGTAGAGGCAATCTTTAAATTAAGATTACTTTTGTAAAAGTTGGGCTGTAGTTCAAACAGGAATTAATCCATAGAAATCCCAAGGTTTATGTTATGCAAAAAGTCAGACTAGATGGTTGTAAGAGCTGCCAGTGAAAGAGTAGCCATTGCCAAGGTAAGCAGAGCCAAGAAAAGTGGTGCCAAGAGATGTTGATACTACAGATTTGATACTGGTGGTAATTAGTGTAGGTCCCTGAGATATTGCTGGAAGTCTGGAAATACGCTCTTTTGGAGCTCCACTGGTAATTATTTCAGGCTAGGAAGTCCATTTATATTGAAATACACATGATGATAGATATAAATTCACTCTCTTATCTACACTTCTGAAAGAAGCAGTAATCCTGTCTCTCTCTCCTATAGGCTTATGTGATTGACTCACAGTTCTACCAGAGCCTTTAGTCAGAGCTGTCTTAGAGCAGGGGTGGGCAATTATTTTGGCTGGAGGGCCACTTAAGGAGTTTTGATGACCTGTCCAAGGCCACAAAGAAGCTCCACCTCTTGACAGGTGCCTTGCCCCCTTGCAACCAGAAGTCCCACCCCCTAATCCCTGACCTTTGCCACCAGAAGTCCCCCCCCTTGCCTGGAACTCATTTTGGCAGGGGGGCGCGTTGCCATCTTGGAACCAAAAACAACTAAATCATATGTTAAAAATCAAACATCTATTATAACATATTTTAATGTTATTTTAAAATATATTTTTGTCCTCATTTACATGTGTTTGTGTAGTGTATTTACAGGCGATTGCATAATAGCTCAAAACAAAGTCTTAATCTTGTATATTGTGTGGGGTGTGTGAGGAGTGTGTGTGGGGGAGCGTGTGGGGTGTGGCATGGGGGTTGGTGTGTGTGTGATGGGATGTGGGGGGGCTGGGGGTGGGGTCTGTAGGGGAGCGTGAGTGTGTGTGTGTGTGGACATATGTGCGGTGGGTGTCAGTGTGCGTGTAGGCAGTGTGTGGGGGTTGTAGGCAGGGAGTGGGGGAAGGTGTGGTTGTGTGTGAGGGAGGGTGGGTATGGTGGGGTGTGCATGTGCCTCCTAAGTGGTGCACAGCCCCCACCACCGGTGGCAGCAGCAGCAGCAGGCCCTCAGGGCACTCATAGCCCATGCAGGGAGAGCCCCTTGGTGGCTTATGGCTCTGGCCAGTTCCAGGAGCTGCCCATGGCATTACAGAGCGGGACCAAGCCAGCCCGGTTTCATTGCATGGGGCTTCCTGTAGGTCATATGCAGCCCCTGGGACCCGGCCAGATCCACATACTGTGGGGGGAGCCCCATGCAGTTGAACCAGTGGCCTTCCCTGCTCCCACATGCAGATCTTGGGACTCCGCTGGGAAGCAGGGAGCAGGGCCAAGCCAGCCTGGCTCCATCACCCGGGGCTCCCTGCCACTTCCAGCAGAGTCCCAGGAGCTGCATGTGAGCCATGGGGAGCTCCACATGATGGAACTGGGCCAACTTGGGCTCCATAATTCTGCTACCCTGCTGGGCGTGGGCCCCATGCTTCAGGCTCCATGCTCCTGCAGACCCCAGCCCTGCGCTTCATGTTCCTGCCTAGTTGCAGCTTCCTCCCCACCTGCCCACCCCCACTTCCCTACCTGCTGCCTGGAGCACTGCAGCAGCGACAGGAAATGAAACTGCTGGAGGCTGGGGGGGGCCGG